TGGTTTATTGGTTGGTTCTTTGTTGTTTGCTTGGTTTTGTTTGGGGTTTTTTGTTAGTTTTTTGTTTTTCATTTGCTTTGGGTGTCTGGTGTTTTTTTTCTGGGGTTTTTGTATTTTGTTTAAGTGAACTTGTCAGACACAGGTTCTGGTTTGCCACCCACTGCAATTGGTTACATTATTTCCTATTTCAAGGGGGGGAAAAAAAAAAGAGACAACTATACAAGTAATATAGTAGCTTTTCGCAGTCTAGATTTTCAGTTGTCTATCAGATCCACCCACAAACTCAGGATTACTCAATTATTTGCTTACTGGGATTTCAATTGTGTTAAAGTTTAGCAAGTTATACTTATTACTAAAACTTCAAGAGATACCCTCCAAGTGAGCACTTCATAATTCTGTTTCATTAGGAGTGTCAGACTAAATCTTCACTAAGGAATTATACCTAAAATAGTGTTTAATTTAACAAATTTCCTAATCACATTTATTCCAGGTATGCCAACTGGATGCTAAAATAGTTGTGTAAGAGGAAGAGTCTCATTTAAAGGCTGTGATTTGAGCAGCCCAACCAGACAAGGTAGACAGGCAGTTGGATGCAGCAGATCCCAGTCTCACAGATTTAAAGGGTGGATATTTGAATAGAGCACCTAAAACCAAATTTTTGAAAGTGGCAATAACACAATAGATTGGAAAGGAGAAAAGAGAAAGACATCCCTATTTGTCAAACTCCGTAATTTAATATGCAGTCATTTAAACCACATTATTGAGCTTCTGTAATCCACCTTGCTTTAAGTGATTGAAAAAGGTTGTGACAAAAACCCAAGGCAATGATTTTTGTTCCTGTTTGGTTACAGCTAAGACCATTAGAATAACCTTCTCTTTAGTCTTTTATTTTACTGCTGTTCTTCTGCTGCCCCATTCCTGAAAGCTGAAAATCACCTACTTAAAAACCAGCAACAACAAAAAAAGCCACTGCACCCACTTCAGGGAGTGAGCTACTCCATTCCTGCCCTGTCTATAAACAGAAATGGAACTGGCATACTTGAAAACCTCAGACAGTTTCCTCAGGCACGGTAATCGTGACTTGTTCTCACAGATCAAATATCACCAAATACACGACTGTCTCACTTTTCCCAATGCTGGTTTCAGACTGGGGAGTAGGGGAGGGAGGCAAGAGCAGGTCGTGGTTATTACCTTGCAGCCTTGTCAACATGCAGCATGTGAGTGCATAATGCAAACATTTGAGTTTTTTACTTTCCATAGCAAAATTTTTAAGATCTATTAAACAATAATATGAGGTTAGTTTAATAAGTTTGTGTGTCTGTTTCAAGTGTTCAGGGTTTAATTATGTTTAATGATGTGATGCCTAAAACCATCTAATTCTTATCTTCTTGGTCATCTTTTTATATGCCACACTGGCATCAGTTTATGAACATTAAGGACCGTCCTATTAAAGTTACAATTTATGCAACACAAGGATGAAGTTTACTTTAACATAACCCTATACAAGGAGGAGGAAAAACAACAAAGCAACAGACAGGAAGCTACAGCTGCCTGAGGATCTGTCATCCCAGCCAAACACCTATTAGAAATCACAGCCTTCCAACTGTTGCACTACCACATACATACAAAAAGTGAAACACAACTGACTTCCATTGTTGGGAAACCAGACACCAGAAAGTCTCACATATTCTGGAAACACATGCTTTCAAGAAGAACTCAGAAAAATCCAGATGGGATCAACTTCAAATGAAAAAGAGAGTTTTATCTGTACATTCTTCAAAGAGAAAGAAGGTGAAAAAGCAGGACAAAAGTCCTGCACATCCCTCAGCCACAGCTCCAGAAAGCACATGGGAAGAAGTTGCCTCCACTGTCAAGAGCACCGACTGCTCAGCCTCTAATCAAAGTCTCTGACACTAAAGATTCCCAGCAAAAACAACCAACCTTATCAAAATCTGTAGTTCTAGTAGAGAACAAGTCTATACAGCAGCCAGCCAAGCCCCAAAGAGCAGGGGAAGCAGGCTGGTAGCAAGTAGTTGTAGTACACAGAGAAAGAGTCTATACAGCAGCCAGCCAAGCCCCAAAGAGCAGGGGAAGCAGGCTGGTAGCAGACTTCTTCTCCCCAGCATACTAACTGCCTCTAAATTATTAGGCACCTGAATTCTATACTCAGGGTTTCTGAACGTTAACACAAAGAGCAGTCCCAAAGAAAGCAAAGTGTACACAGCACCAGGGGATGGAAGCAGGCACTAAAGATAACAGTGCCAAGGTTTGGGCTGAAGCAAGACACTACTCCACACTGGGATACCAGGGACAGGGCAAAGCCTTCCTGGGTTTGGGTATGCGTAGTTTCTTCCTGTACTTCTCCCACTAATCAATGTTTTCTATGAAGGAAAGGATGAATGAAAATATATCAATGTCATCACAGGTAACATTTTTGTTTCCTAAGAATGATATACACATTTAAACAACACAAGCAATACAGAGAAGTAATTACAACCTTCCTGAACAGAAACGCTTTAATCCCTATGACAGATGCAATACCTGCCACATTCATCTGTGGTCACTTCTACACAGGAAAAGCACTACTTTTCAGGGAGATGTAGATATATTTCCACTAGAGGAAGAAACAGAAAGTCTTCTGAAAAAGAATATTCTTCCTACACAATTCCTGTGAATTGCTTCTGAGAAGAGCATTATGAACGTTACTATTCCTATTACTTAAAAGATAGCGATAATGCCCAAAAAGACAAAAATATAGCTTCGAAACTGTTCTGATTCTTAAGATATGTGCAGCCATAATCACAAACAGAACGGCTTTGGGGAGGGGTTGTTGGTAGTTTGTTTTGGTTTTTAATTAAGTCAGCCACATCTACAAAAAAAAAAAAAAAAAAAAAAAAACAACGCGAATTAAGTCAGCCACATCTACAAAAAAAAAAAAAAAAGATAAAACTCAGCGTATGTTTTGCTGATTAAATGGATCCTAAGAAAGGAAAACTATGCAAGAGTTTTCTAGAGCAAACAAAAACTAAATTTTAATACCAGTTGTCTGGTAAGAAACATATTAGTACCCCGGGTGCAACATTCAGAGCATTTTCTAGGCAGCCTGGAAGTCCTTTAGAGTTGAGTTGCTGCAACATCGTGCTCAACGTGTTAAAACAAAAACATCCCTTTGGACTAGAAGAGAACTCCAATTTCTACAAGAGACCAAAATCCACTCAAACCATTCCATTTGACATTCCCTCCTCAACCAGAGTGTGACACACTTTCTAGCTACAGGGATGGTATCACAAAGCACCTATTGCAATCACTTGGGTTTCTCCCACAGGAAGCTGCTGGGAGCAGCAAGAGGCCTGAACTGGTATCTCTGACAGAGAGTACAGATTATCCAAATATTATCCAAATATTCCTAGACCCTTCTGAGCCAAATATGCCAAGAGCATGCACATATGTCAACCATTCCCCTCGCTTCATTTCATAAAAGCCAGTACTCAGAATTTCACATAGGATTGAGCTATCTGGTAGAAATATTGAGATTTCTCTATAAAGAGATCGTTTTACACAGATCTGTGTAAATCTGTCTACATATTTTTCCAGTAGTTCTGGATGGCTTATGATGAAGTTGTCGTGTGGGTAAGCACACAATTCCTTCAGCTATTTTCATTAGGCATCTTGACCTTCTGACCTTCTTGAAAAAAAGAATCAGAGTCTCTGAATTAAACAAACACCACTATTTTATTTTTAAAGCTTTCATCAGCTTTTCCAGCTGCTGCAGAGAGCTTTATAGAATTACTGCAAGAGATGCCATGACATAACTAATGCTAGTTTCAAATGGCAATTTGGAAAACCAGTTCCTTAAATGAGGAAAGCCCAGACTGTGCCAAGACAATATTGGCCTAAATAGTTAAAAGTAAACTCTTTACTATTGATTTATAGCAACAACAAACAGAAGAAATGGATGGCCAAGGACACCCCAGAGAGGAAACATTTGCCCTGACCAGCATGGAGAAAGAGATGCCTAGAACTAAAGGACAAGTTTATACATAAATTAAAAGCAGCAGTTCACAGCTACTAATAGAAACACACACAAACATGTGCTTCTGCTTCTTTTGCTCCCAAACAGCCCTAATTTTCTTTCAAGTTAAATTTATTGCAGAAGATACCAACAATGGCCAACTCCACACCCAAAAAGCAAAGCAAAGCAAAAATTTCCTGCATGCAGGATTTAACACATACATACGTATTCCTCCCCCCCCAAAAAAACCCCATCGTCTAAGCTTTAAATTACTTTGTATTTTAAAAGCTGATTTGAGAACAGCGATTAAACTTGTTCCAGCTAACCTACTTTTTATTCATTTCATTATTTATTGCTAGGCAACATAGACCGTGTCAAACCATGTTAGTACCATGAGAAGAAGTCCTTCCAATTTAGATCAAAAATTCTCTTCTCGCCCTCCTCCCCCTCAATGTGGAGGCCACATGTATTTTTATAACACCAGTGTTCCCAGACAACCTTCTTTCTGATCAGGAGCTGACATTTCAAACTCTCTTCTCAACATCTCCCGTAAGATGCAATTTACCCAAACCTCACGTGGTGCCTGTAAATAGCTGCCTTTAGATGCTGCCTGCTCAAAGAATGGCTCTTTCCTAGTATTTGCTACCAGAATTCATCCCAGTCACTATACTGGGAAGTCCACAGCAGGTCTCTCTTCACACAGTTATCCTTTTATTCCTTTCTAGAAGACTCTGGCTTCTTTTGCAATATCCCTATTATCCACGGTCTGTATATGGGCAGCCAGAAAAGACTGGCTACTACCTTTACTGTTACTTCCTTTCATCATAAGGAAGTTTTTAAGAAATCCAAAAGGAAGAAAAATAAGAAAGATCAGAGATCCAGGTTCCCAAACAAATTATAAACAGAGTGCTTCAGAATGTTTCTTCTAGCACAAAGCCTAAATAAACCATATAACTTCCTTAATAAAGGAAAAAAAAAAAAATCCTACCTTTTGTTTATAGGTTTTTCATCTTTCTCATAAGGCTTCACAAACCATTTCCCAATGCGCACAAAATTGCGATTCATTAAACACCTCTCCAGCAGGTTGTGAACAGCTTTGAAAAGCAGAGTGCGACATTCGTAAGAAAGTCCATTCTCCCAAACACCATCTTCCTCTTCTACAAGGCAAAAGAGAAAAAAATATAAATTAGCATTGAATTCCATCCTATTATTTCATGCACATATCGCAATATCCTTTCCTCTCCCACCAGCTTTTAAGACATTCATATCGCCGCACGCAACCAAAAAAAGCCTGTAACATTCAGATAATAACTCTACTCACGTTATAATAGTGTAACTGCTAAAAGTAATCAGCTATAAAAATATCTCGTCTCCTACAAAAAAAAGATTCAACAGCTATTTGTACGCAAAAGGAAACAGCTCACACCAGTACGTTATGTATTTCAGCTGCAAGATCTCTGTAGATGTGTCCTCAAGGTGGCTCGTGTTTTGGGGAGTCTGAATTGCTTATCCTGAAGAATTAGCTGACAGTTATTCTTAAAAATAAATTGCCCAAAGCCAAAATTTTCATATATCCTAATGTCTTTAGCTACCATTGGCTGAGGAAAGCTGGACAGATACTGTTGATTAACTGACTCAATGTTCATCAATTTGCTAGAGGAGTGGAAAAAAATAACCAGAAAACTGGGAAGAGAAAGCTGATTCTCCTCAGAAGACTCTCACAACAGGCAATTTCTCTTTTTAATTCAAAATAAAACCCAAGGATATCTAAGCAGACTAGTCCTGCTTTCTGATCTATACCTATAACAGAAGGGGAAAACAGCAAGCACAAAGCCCAGCTCATACTGATGGGATTCTGAAGTGAAATGCTGAGATCGTATGTGCCCCACAAATCAAGTGCAGCCATGGAATCCAACTCACACAAGCCAAGTTGATTTGCCAAATTGGAGAGCAAGCTTCGTTACAAGAAGCTGTAATCTCTTCAACCACTCTGGCTCATAATCAGTGTTTGAACACATAGTTTATGGGCCCTAGAAGTACATGCACTGCTCCAAAGGATTACAATGGCATTACAACTACATTCCACAAGGAAAATGAGGGACATCTGAAAGTTCCTGCAGTATCTCTCAGTGTATGTGTGATATCATTCATTCCCAGCAACACGCCAATACAGAGGATAATATAAGAGGACTGGAGATCTTGTCCTTATATTACTGGAAATCAGGTCTTATCTTTATGCCTACAGTTCCTTGTATATTGTGTCTTACATCTCTCCCTAAGGGTCTGCTACTGGTCTCCTTGGACTAACCTAGCAGAGTTATTCTTATAACACCATTGCTTTTATCCTCCAGGTAGCAGCATAGACTAGAAGACTGTCTGACATAGATAAGGAGACATATTTTTACTTCAGTCTCTGGATAGTCATGGAACAATTTAGGTTGGAGGGGACCTGTGGAGGTCACTTGCTCCAACCCCCACTCCGAACTCAAAAGTTAGGGCAGGTTGCTCATCTCACATTCCTTTCCCCTCAGGCCTTCTCTGCTCAACCTCCGAGAGGTAAGGCTTGGGTTTAGATTTACTTTTGTACAACAGGTCTTGCAACAGCAACCTCTCTGTTCACCCCCCTCCTTCACAGAGGATTCTGGTTCAAACAGCTTTCCGCCGGTTCGCTCCATGGTCAGAAAACCTCAGTAATACAGCCAAGTCCTTGCATTTTAAATCTCCCTTTGAAATAAGCCCCTTCACCTTTATCTGGAAGCCACTTACAAGCTTAAAAGGTTGCAATAGTATTAACTAAAGTCTCGATATCCTTAAATTAGAGAGTCTGTAGAAAACCAGACACCTAAGAGTTTTACTTAGAAAAATAATCTTACAGATTATTACAATAAACAGTATTTAAGACAAAAGATGACAGAAAAGGGAATTTCAAGACACCACTGCAGCCAGAACGTGGTGGCTGTATTTGTATATTGTGAGATCCCACACAAGGAAAAGTCCATTTCCACTTAAGATGAGTGTTGTGAGTTAAAGAAAATGACTCCCCAGTGTCCTTCTCCGAGGGACAGAATAAGAGCAGACAGACCTGCCACATCATTTAGAAGTGAGGTGTGCATCATTACAGATGAATCATTACATGAAACAGTTTTCTGGGAAAGACAAGGAAATGCAAGGAACCGCATTTCCTAAATAAAAGGCCTCACCAGGAGTTTCCCACCCCACCACCCTGCGCCACTTTTGAAGTTCAGCAAAAAAAAAAAAAAAAAAAAAAGAAAACTCACACCTTGTTTTTAAAAACCAGAAAGCTACAAGCTAATACAGTAACTCCCTAAGGAAACATCGTACAAGAAGTTTGTAACAAAAAAGCAACAAAGGTCCAAAGTCGAAGGGTATAAAGCGTTTGTGCCAAGAGGACACATTTTTCTGCAGAGAGAGGGACAAAAAGGAGCCCCGTCCCGGGGCAGCGGCGCTGCTCGGCACTGGCTGCTCCGCCGGTGGCAAACAACCAGCTGGAGAGAGCAAACATTAACTACAGGGCTTAATGATATTGGACTTTTAACTGCACAATAAACTCCACGCCATTTCAAAGGTTAAATAGTTCCTTTCGATATGGCTCTCGTAATTTAAAAAAAAAAAAAAAAAAAAAGAAAAAAGGAAAAAACACTCTAAGACCATCCCCTGCGTCAATTACCCATTATAAGAGGAAATAGAAAGAGCTATTTCCAGACTTTATGCCTAATTTTGTTTTGACATATTAGCGCATCAATGAGAGGAAAGATGCTGAAATGGCAAAGACACGGAAATGTCCTCCAAAGCTGGTGTTTTGATGGTCACACCACGGGCACGACAGAGAGGTTTCGATTTTCTGAAGACACTCCAAAGTGCCAAGTATTTCATTTAACATTAATAGTCGCGCTGGCAACCAAGTTATGAGCAAAAGTTTGCATGCAAGAACTTGCCACAGGATTATAATTCTGAAAGGCTCTCTTAGTTTATTGCTGAAACAGAGAGCTCTTAGACGAGCGTATTACGTGGGGAAAGGGGAAGGCATTAAGATAGAAATTACAATTAAAAGCCTACTATTTAAAAAGACAGCGTGCTGTAAGCCTGCCTCCCAAGCAGGAAGAACGTCTGGTACCCAAAATAAGACCACCTGTTCAAACTGAAGTGCATCTTGCTATAGAAAGGGAAGGTTAAGTAAGATGACAGTTAAAGACACCCTCATTTCAGAACATTATTCAAATTCATACCAAAAAAAAAAAAAAAAAAGCAGCAGTAAGTGTTCTGTGCCTTTTTGAAGTCTATTTAGTCATTCCCCCCCTCCTTTTTAGGGTGGTGGATGGAAGGAGAGAAACATGACATCTGCTCACATCTCCCAACTATTTCTCTTCTTCATTCAAATTATTGTTTCTCAACACAAGAAAAAGCCTCCCACTTAACAGAAATTGTACAAAGCAAACCATTTTTAAAAAGAAAGGGAGAGGAAGAGGCACTTTTGTCTTTCTTAAACACAATAACTTCAAATGTTCAATCTGATAGTGCTAATAAACCAAAATAAGTTGCTGAGTCATTTTAAGAAGGTGTTAAGCCACAATTTCACTTCAGCCGAGTGTTATCCACAGAAGTGCTCTGGTAACCCAAGGTTAGAAATATCTTATTTTTTATTAGTTCTCTTGGCTGCCCAAACCACTCAGCTCCTCTGCGACATGCTTTTGTGTCAATCCATTAATCAAGTTATAGACGTATCATCCCACTATAATGAATTTAGTTCCCTCTCTCTTCACACCACACATTAGGCTGAGAATTTTCCTTGAATTAAGGTTAAAATTAACCGGAAATGAAGAATTAATGGAAACAATGGCCAGGAAAAAACAATTTCCATACTACACATAAATAACCAACTTTCCCAGACAACACTTCCTTGATACTACCACCAGCCAATTCTAATGAAACAGTTGTAGGAGGCTATTGGCTTTTAGTACTTTTATGTTCTACTTTCCATTCTTCATACAGTTCATCTGAAGCAGTAAAGTTCATTTTTACTGATTATGCCCTTCCATTTTTCTAGTGCTCTCGCATAAGCATACTGGGAGGCAGGAGTCTGGAAACACACTCAGAATACAAAAGTTCCGCAATTTTGAGTGAATTCCGAAAAAGCAGTATCTTCAACTTTTTCATTTAATTCAAGTCAGACGTTTTAAACCGTATTTGTTACCCACAGATCTTTAGCCAAATTTATTAATCAAGGATCGCGTACAAATAAACAGATCTTTGCTTAATGTATGGTTTTTTGCAACACCAATTTTGAATACAGTACTAAAAAATGACACTTTCAAGAACACTTTTAAAGAATGGGGATTTTCCCCCTTCTTCCTTTTAACAAAGGCCACATCAGCAAAACATCAGTAAGCATCAACTCTTGAAAAGGCCGAATATATTTACTGTACCATTAAAAAATATCTAGCTGGCCACATCAGCAAAAAATCAGTAAGCATCAACTCTTGAAAAGGCCGAATATATTTACTTTACCATGAAAAATATCTTACTAATGCTCAATGAACCTCTAAAATAAATGATGCAAAGAAACAGTACCATTAAAAAATATCTTACTAATGCTCACTGAACCTCTAAAATAAATGATGCAAAGAAACAAACCACAGTCAAACCCCCACTTTGGGCTACAATTCTGCCCCCCCCAACAATTACTTCAATTACACAGAGGAAAGAAGCCATTCCTTAGGATCATGACTGAGACACATCTTCTAAAAGTTCTACTTACCTTCAGGGACTTCCCTTCTGTCCCCATTTGACAGGCTGCCAGTTATAGAAATAGACTGATGCAAAACTGATTTATACAATCAAACTTCCCATATAAGCTTCAGATTACAAGGGAAGTATAATAAGCAAAGCAGCATGAAATTGCTGCTGTGTGCAGTATTGCAATAACATGAAACACTTCATGTAATGTTTTCTATTTAAAAAACAGATTTTTAAAAGTCACAGACTTTAAGATTGAATAAAATTTCTCAAAGCAAAAATTATCCAGTTAACCTACTGAAAAATAACTTTGAGGGCCTGTATCCCTGATGAAATAAGTGAGAAGCAACAGATTTTGTGTGAAAAAAGGGAATGACTACAGTTCAAAAATACCAACTGGAGA